ACAAAACACACCACAAGCCTCACCCAACGTCCCCTTGCTACCGCGCTTTCGCCTACAGGAAGCCGCGACCGCGTGGCAGCAGGGAAAATGGCCGTGGATCCGGTTCATAAGTAGGGGCAGAGTTCGCAAGTAGAGGTAAATTTTTGGGGCCGGAGCTGGTCATATCTTGAAAAATTCATAAGGAGGGGCGTTCGTAACTAGAGGTACCACTGTATACTCCTTTACATAAGTCAAATACTGCAACCAATGCAAATTATTCAGAGGATCTGTGAATACGAGTATCTTTTCATTCCCGTAAATGCCTTGAAAAAACAATGAAATTAATAAGATAGAGCTGTATTCTGAAAAAGCAGCAAGTGTGTGTTTGAAAAAAAGGACAGGAAATAAACCTCCTTCCAATGTGCTGCTTTTAAATATTTTTTATTTATTTTTTCACCGTTGAGCTGAAAATATTTTATTCAGTCATTTATTTACACATTTATATGCCACCCATTTCCAAATAGCACTGGGTGGCTGTTTCTAATGAATTTATTGTCTTTATTATTAATAATAATATTTATTTATTTATTTATTCAAAGATTTTACATAGCTAAAGGACAAATACAGAAGTATATAACGAAAAGAATGAAAAAGAAAAAAGAGAAAAGAGAAAGTGCAGAAAATAATACAATTAAAGAAAGGAAAAAAAAGATACTTAAAGAAGTGACTTCTACCCTTCTTTACAACAGTTACAAGCAAACCCATTATCCCTCTTCCCTCCTTAACGTTACAATAATCCCTTCAGCCCCTTATTCAGTCTTTTTTCAATGGTCAAATCCAGAAATCACCATTTCATTTTTTCCATTTTCAGCAAAAAGTCCATAAAAGGTTTCCAGTTTTATATAAAAGTACTTACTGTTTTGTCCCTGACCAAACAGGTCAGTTTTGCCATCTCTGCTAATTCTGCCATCTTCATAATCCATTCCTCCATTGTGTGTATTTCAGTATTTCTCCATCTTTGTGTATATAATAATCTTGCTGCAGCTACCATATATAAAATAAGTCTTCCATAAGTCTTTTCTAATTGTCCCATGAGTCTCAATAAAAGGAGTTCTGGTTTCATTTCAATATTAATCTTCAAAATTCTTTGTATCATCATATGTATTTGTTTGCATTTTTTTTTCCTTTTCACAAGTCCACCTTGTATGGTAAAATGTCACTTCATGTTTTTCACATTTCCAGCATTAACTAGAAGTACCTTTATATATCTTAGATAATTTCTCTGGTGTCATATACCATCATTTTGTAAAAATTCTCTCTTAAATTACAGAGAGTCCTCAGGTTAAGAATGCCCAGTTTAAGTATGACCCATAGTTAAGAATGGAGCTCATTGTAGCAAAATTTGAGTTAAATACACAATGATTTGAGTTAAATACACAATGA